CATTTTAACAAGATTATATTTTCCAGAGGATTCAATCTCTGGACATGTTTTCTATTGCCACTTAACAAATTGCTTCAAAACTTAGCAGTTTAAAATGAAATGCATTTATTACCTCAGTGTCTGTGGTTGAGGCAGGGTTGGCTAGGTTCTGTGTGCAAAATTTCTCAGAGAGCTCCAAGCCAGGAGTCAGCCAGGGCCGGGGCCCCACCTGAAGCTGTGAGTGGGGAAGCACCCGTTCCAGGCTCACTCTGTGGCTGTGGGCAGGACTCAGGCCCTCATGGAGAGCTGGACTGAAGTCACTGTGTGCATTCTAGCTGTTGGCTGGAGGCCACTCTCAGTTCCTTGTCTCTTGGGTCTTTACCAGTATGCTAGCCTGCTTCATTAGAGCCAGCAATAGAGTTGACAGCAATGTGAAAGTCACCATCATTTGAAACCTATCACAGAAGTGATTTTGTATCACCTTTGCAGCATTGTATTCTGTTAGTTAGAAGCAAGTCATGGGAAGGCAGTTAGCAAGAACTGAACACCAGAATGTGAGAGCATTGTGACCACATTACAAGATCTCAATCTTTGTACTATTTTTCCTGTAACACTACCCATCAATCCCGACATTATAGCTGGATGTATATAATAGTGGTCATATCAGAGTCTATGTCCTCTGTCATAGGTTTACCACTATTTGCAACAATGTTACAACAAATTCATAACATCAACTCAGGAGAAAAGGGTTTTCAGGCTATGGAATGGAATTGAAAAGTGCTCAAAAAATACACTAAATTGGATTAATAATAGAAGAGTTCTAAACTATTGATTATGCCTACCAGTTTTACACTGTTTCTGCTACCGCACTTTTAACATAGTCTTGCTATATAGTAATAACTTCTTTGGGATTGTATCTACCTAGTCCTTTTATTTTATTTTGTAAAATAAGGCTGCAGTGCAGAATATTGCCTTACTCTTCTTTACTAGCAACAGGTAAATTGAAGAACCACCCAGTAGTGACAGAAAATGAGTTCCACACCAATTTGCTATAAATTGTTAAGCAAATATGTCAGCTATTGGGATCAAAGGACTTTTAATGCAATTGCTTTAATTGTATGTATGTTGATTGTGTTAGGTGGAAGAAGTCTAGAATTTTAATGCAAGTGGTTAATCATGGTGTTCAAAAGAGTGCACTGTCACTCAGGGATAATTAATTAGGTTTTTATATGAATGAAGTTTCAGGGAAGCAAGTTAAACACCACTATGAGAGGCAATTTGT